ACCACCACGTGCGTAAAAGAAAAGTGCATGCTAGGCATTGTTTAATCCGATCATGTACCGTAAGAAAACCACAGATATTTACTCATGAGTATAATACAGTATTAAAATATATAGCACATGTGAAAGAAAGGACAAAGAAAAGGCATGTGTAACACCAGAATCAGGGTTTCTCAGAGAATATCCGGTAGAAGAGCAGCTCGTCAAACAGGAGAAGTGATGTTTGAACACAAGGAGATCACACAGTTGCAGCCGTCCAATCGTACGGTTTGAGTATACACCATAGATTATAGTAAAAGCTAATCAAGCTGTGCTACAGTTTACATTACAGTGACATAATGATATCGTTTGATAATGAATATTCTGATATTGTCATTCCACGATGTCCATGACACACTGCTGCAGAGTAGAACTGAAAAAAGACAGATTTCGTGAGCTGGATCCTTGGGTCTCATCAAAGTTTATACAAAAATATGTTTTTCTCTCGTCATCTGGTCTTCGTTCTTCCGGCTGCGTCTGAAACAGAGATCATTTCAAACTTTCACTCAATTTTGAAAAACTAAGTGAACAAGAGCTTAGATTTACATTTACATCTGCTATAGCACCATTTTAAAGTATTTTATTGTGCAAAACATCAATATAACCCCAACTGCTGCAATGAAAAATGCAAAACATAAAACATTAAGTGCACGCTTCCATTTCTGGTTTTATTTAAGCTACTTTATATAATATATAGTTTTTAATTAGATATATACACAAACATGCAGGCCGCTTTATTAGGTACAACTGCTCATTAATGCAGATTTCTAATCAGCCAATCACACGACTGCAGCTCAAGGCATTTAAGCGTGGTCCAGGCATGCCCAGTTCGAGGGTTCTCTAGGGTTTGTAGAGAATCTTGTAAAAAATAGAAAATCTTCAGTGAGGGCAGTTCTGTGGGAGTAAATGCCTTGTTGATACCAGAGGTCAGAGAGAACGGTCAGACCATTTCGAGCTGCTAGAAAGGTCTGCAGGAGAGCATCTCTGAACGTCGAACCTCGAGGCAGATGAACTACAGCAGCAGACTGTGGTGGTGGTGGTGGTGGGATGGTGTGGGGGCTATTTTCTTGGCACACTTAAACACCATTTGAGCCTCGTGTCACAGCCTCCCTGAATATCGTTCTGACCTCTGTGAACCCATCTTCTGATGCTACTTTCAGCAGGAGAAAGCTCTGATATGGTAAATAAATTCAATAGCTGCAGGGTTGAGGTAATGCTCTCGAAGCCGCGGACTCCACTCAGCTGGTCTCTATTGTATGTGATTGCGGCACCAAGATTTCTATTCACATGAAGCAACCTTCTCCAGATGATTCTTACCTAGTTTCCATTGACTTGTGAAGGAGGTTCTGCCGCTCTGTTATCGACAGCCGCTCTCTCTCTGCTGCGACTCTCCCTTTCCTCGTCCTCCTCGTCCCTTTCCTCGTTTCCACTGTGATTCTTACAATAAAGCCTTGTGGAAACGACAAAGCGTTCAGTTTTTTTGTGTGCAGCAGTCTAAATAACAAGCCGTCAGTGGGTAGAACCTACTTGTAAATGCCCCTCGCCATGTTCTCGATGTACTTGGCCTTGTCCTCCAGGCCGCAGTGATAGTGGTACGTCTTCACACAAGCTTTAATCTCACATCCGATGGTGGCTCCCAGCTGGCCGCACAGCGTGCATTTCTGAAAGCAACAAAGATCTTGAGGTGTTCGCTCGTACAGTGGTTCGTGCACTGCTCCTACGGCGATTTTACCATTCTTTTTCCTCTCTTGATTTCCTGGATAACTGTTTTAATTTCAAAGTTCCCAAATTCAGCGCGTGAGCTGGTGGTTAGCTGTACGGTCCCGGACGAGAAAAGCTGGAGCACAAACAAAGCCGAGGTCAAACATTAAACCATTTTACAACTAAAATATGTTTCACTCGCTCGACTGAACTCTCTCGAACCTGCCCTTAGAATAAAACATTCACATTTAAATGAAAGACAAATTAACAATAAAAACAAATGTTACTTTTCTGTTTGCTTGCACTGCTAAAATCACTTTAAAAATCTTCTAAATGTGGGGCTCAATCACAGAACACCTTTGACTGACCGATGACCTGCAGTGAATTCAGTAAATATTGAATCAGTCGTTGACTGCTACTGAGAAATCATGGCGGAGGGCTAGTATTTGATCAATTGTTTATTCAGAGACGGTTATTTAGCTTTTGAAAATTCCAGCTGCACTCTGCTCATGAGTCTAGGTCATTAGCATCATAAAGACACCTGTGCACCCCACAATCAGTCAGAAGCAAAAGTTCCAACATGGGAGAAACCAAAGAGCTGTAAAAGACACTAGTGACAATATTGTAGACGTTCACACAGCTGGAAAAGGATGTGGAGCGATCGATGAAGAAAGAACAACGTATGGAGCGACTGTCAGAAGATGGACGAGGTTGATGATGCTGACAGTGTCTGGAACCACACAGAAGATCTCCGTGGAGCAGCTCTGATGGTAAAGAATCAGCCAAGAACGACACGGGAGGAGCTGGCCGATGCCATGAAGAGAGCTGGGACCACCGTTTCCATGGCTACCATCAGTAATACACTCAGACACCATGTTTTAAAGTCATGCATCGCACACAAGGTTCCTCTGCTTAAGTCAGCCCATGTCCAGCCTGTCTGAAGTTTGGCACAGACCATCTGGAGGTACCAGAGGCGTCATGGGAGAAAGTCCTGAGGTCAGATGAGATCAAAGTAGAACTTTTTCATCTTAACTCCATTCACTGTGTTTGGAGGAAGACAAATGATGTGCATCATCCCAATAAAACCACTCCTACGGTAAAGCATGGGGGTGGAAGCATCATGCTCTGGGGGACAGGACGACTGCACTGCATCAAGGAGAGGATGTATTGTGAAATATTGGGACAAAACCAGTAAGAGCATTAAGGGAGGGGGCGTGGCTGGGTCTTCCAGCATGACAAGGTTCAGGAGTGGCAGAGCTAGTCTCCAGACCTAAACCCAACAGAAAGCTGGACACCCCAAACCTGACAGATCTGGAAAATATCTGTTTTGAGTGGGCCAAAATCCATCCTGCAGCGTGAGCGAGCCTGGTGGAGAGCTACAGGAACCGTTTGACCTCTGTCACTGTTAATAAAGTAAACTTTACCAAAATATTAACTCAACCGATTCTTATTTGACACAGTAATTTACAAATAAACTGATAAAAACAACATTTTTCTTTTTCAATTCTGTCTCAGAGTGGAAATGCTTCTCTGCTGGAAATTCTAGACTCCTTTGTGATTTCTTGCAAAAATATTATTGACCTCATTGTATAGATCCAATTTTTGTACGATTTCTGACTTTTTCCAGGGATTCTGTTTTATAAGCCCTCATCAAAAGGTTTCTTAGGAAAAGTGTGAATTAAAATGGTGTCATTTTCGCTGTATCTGAGACTTTTTGTAATATTGTAGTATAGGAAACGTGCACGTCACAATTGGACTCCTCTCTTTTTATTTTCTGATTAGTTAAATAACCACAGTTAAAAATCAATTCTGCATAATCTGCACTTATTCCAATTGGCCTCTGGTGTGTTTCATGAAGGTTGCAGCTAAACCTTGCAGGGCTGTTACGAAACTTCTCCAAACTGGATCTTAAAAGTCTCACCATGCATTTATAATGCGCTGCAACCTTCTTAGCGTTGTCTGAGTGGAGCACACCACGCGTTTCATTCTCGTCTTCGCCGGCATGACAGAAGCCACACCGAAGGCCTGAATCACTGGGGCTGCCTCTCAGAGGGGACCGCTCCCGCTGTGACACACACGACATTCAGCGGCTGTTCAACAACATCCTGCAGAGAACTCTGATAGAAACGTTACATACATGTGCGGAGCCCTCCGCATCGTCGTTGCCCTGCGACGAGGTGGACTGCGTGTCGTCCGACTGCCCTCGCGATACCCCACGCATTCTGCTTTTCTCAAACCGCCCCCTTCCTCTGCCTCGTGGTGGAGATGAATCCGAATCGTTGGCTGCAACTTCCTCTTCATCTGCGAACGAGAACCAATCGTTAATGATCTCCCACGAGCGGATGCTCCCCGTCTACCCGAAACACGAGTCAATTACCGTCGCTGCCATCTTGAGAAGCATCTCTGTGTTTGCGGCAATAAACACTAATCGAGAGAGAAATCAAGGTTAGAGTCTGAAACAAGAGAATTATCAAATCTGGGTCTCTTACAGATAGATGCCCTGCGAGGGGTTCTCTTTGGTCTGGGCCTTGTCCCACAGAGCGCAGTAGTAATGGTAGGTCCGTCTGCACGTCTTCACATCACAGCCAATGGTGGCCCCAGGCCGGTGACAGGAAGTGCACATCTAAGAAGGGGACACACAGGAATAATGGTAGATTGTGATGTGCTCCTGAAGAGCAGGGATCTTATGAGGATGACCGTGAGAATCAAATCTTAACCTCGCGTCTCTTTGTGTCGTTACAAAAGAATCATTAAAGGACCTCCAACAGCAATGGATTTATTTTATTTTTTACCTTCAACAAACGACCGCACGTTTTTTCTGATCAGAATGCATACCAGTTTATTTCCTCGTTTTATCTCCTTCTTCACATCCTCGATAGAAAAGCCTCCGATGTTCTCACTGTCACAATGAGATGTGACCAGTGCAGATGAGAAAAGCTGAAAACAGACTATAAGTTACCTTTTAAACCAAGCAAATTAACTTTGTAATCAAACAAACACCTGAGAAACAGTTTAACATCGTAGCATTACAATGAAACCGGCCTGAAAAGTAAACTGCGAGCTGTTCTTGAAACACCTGGAGTCCATGCATGCCAGAGGGGGACGCCAAATTCCCGTTTCCTCACAAGAAAATATAATGTAAAAATAAAGACGTTGATAGTTATGTTTTAAAAACAAAGTACTGTGTAATATGTATGTGTGTGTGTGTGTCTGTGTGTGTGTGTGTGTGTGTGTGTATTATATTTATACATATTTTTAGAATTGCTTTCCTGCGGCTAAGTTGGTAGAGCATTGCAACAACCCAAAGGTCTTGGGTTCAAATCCCAGGTAAAGCAACAACTGACAAAAATTTGTTCATTCATTCAAATGTAAGTAACTTTGGATAAAAGCATCCACCAAATGCATAAATGTAATGTAAATTGTATAAGTGCATACCATAACCAAGGCACTTGCCTCAATACGCCACATTACCTCTAAATGAAACTTTGTGACGCAAAGCCCAAAATAATAGTGGTCACCATCAGGGAAATCACAAATGTACATTTTAATTTTGTAACTACAAATAGCTATTTATCAAAAACTGTTCAGACCAGAGCAAACAACACTGTTTAAAATTAAATTATGTCTGTATTAAGACAGGTAGAGAAAAAAAAAGTTTTGTTTCATTTACAATAAAAATACAGTTTTACTTTTAGTGGATAAAATAAGCAGCAAATTCAACTTACTATTAAAAATCCCTTCTGAGGAGGACATTCTAATGCCTCAAATTTCTGCTTTTATTCAAGATTTGAAGAAGATGAAATCCTTGTTCAATGTTCACTCGACGGTTTTTGCAAATAATAAAAAGGTTTCTGTGTCTGTAAAATCTCTTAAAAAAACAGAATTAAAGCAAAAAGCAACATTTGTCAATGTACCATGCACTTGTGGTGGGCTGCCACCCGGTGGTTCTCGGACACCAGTAACTGGCCGCACTCCTTGTCTTGATTGCTTCTGCAGAAAGCACATCTCCGAAGACGAGCTGAATCTCCTTTTCTCTGTCCGGACATGACAGGTTCTTTCCTCTTCTAGTAGAAAGAAAAACATCATGAAAGAAATGCCTGCTTTAAACTGATCAAAGGTGTGAACAATATAATTTTTTCTTTTGTCGTTATAATATTCTCAGATCTCAACACATGTGTTGAAAGCATATGATCATTTCACTAGAAAACTAAGTTATACGTGACTTCGGGCCTTATTAAGGGACCACAATATCTGCCGCTATTTCATTGTACTCCCGCTGTTAACAATGACCACCAATGACAGTAATTAACAAAGTCTGGAAGCATCTGAGCAATCCTCCATTTCTTTCTATTTTCACTGAGATTTTAAAAAGCAAAGGTGTACAGAACCAATCTCAGGGGTGTTGTGACACTATAATAGATGCTTTAATGAGCTTTTTGTGCTTTCATTTGGAGTCTTTAATCAGGATTTCACACACTGGAATGCCATGTCAACAAAGCTAGCTCGCATTCTGATTGTAGTTACTTTAAATGTCAAACTTAACCATTATTGTTGTTCATTGTCAACACTGCAACGCAAGAAGATCCGAGAGAGCTCACTAAACATCTCAACTACAGCCGCAGATGAGAATAAAATCCTGAATGTTTCCTTAAATATCAACCCATTGTTCCTCTCGTGTCTTTCGTTAGAGATGAACGCTGTGCTGCTGTCCCCCCAGTCGCCAGACAGAGGAGCCATGATGATGTTGATAACCGAGAGGAGCAGCAACAAACACAAGCTCCAGGAGAACATCTCATGGTCTCCAACTCAACACTAGATCAACCTCAAAACACTCAAAGAAACGCGTAGCTGCATTCGAGCTGTTTACAGAAGCAGGGTGGAAATCAGGATGTGAGGCCTGCGTCAAATCGCTCGTTTCAAACTCTTGCAAATTTCCAGAGAACCTCAACTACTACAATTCAATCCGACCCCCCCCGGATGCTCCAGGGTCGCTTACTTCATCCCTACAAAGAGTTCTGCGTGAAGGCCCACATCACACTGCAGCTAAACCCAAACCAACAAGGCCAAATGTAAAATAAAAACCATCTGTACTTTATGGGAGACTGTCGCTCGGCTTTTTAGAAACACATTGTTTGCGGCGGTTGTACTTCGCCCGCTTCACGTGTGGAGATCCACAACACGAGATGCGCACAAATATCAGCCCGAAGACGAAGCTAGTCCCGACGGCTCTTCTACAGAGCACGCTTCTTTTAGAACCGGACGTTTTGTGACATTTTTGGAGGCTCTTACCGCTGCCGAGTCGAAAGGGAAAGATTATTATCGGCGGGGAGCGTGAGCTAGCTCTGTTCCTCTGCTGCTGCTGCTCGTGAGCTCCGCTGCCTCCCACCATTGCGAGGCGTACGCGTGACGTCATCCACTGCGAAAGCCTGTTTGTCCAACGCAAAGCAAGTGCGCGCGCACTCTTTATCAGGGAGGCTGTCAGTCAGTACACGTTAAATGTAGCTTAAAGTTGTGTAGCCGTGAACTAACTTATTTCATCAACATAAGCTTGTAAATTATAGTACAGTGTTACCCCGAGATACGAAATTAATCCGTTCCAGGATGACGTTCCTATCTCGAACATTTCGTATCTCGAAGCAACTTTTACATGTAAAACGCCATATCCGTGCAATGGCTTTCAGAAACAACAGAATAAGTGGATAAAAAATGGAAAACCAGAGAAAAATCAAGTAACGTTTCTTCAATCCTTAAATCTACACATTGTTAATGTTATAAATGATAATAAAACAGAATTAAACACAAGGAAAATACATAATATGTACACAAATGTGAAACTGTACCTTGAGTGAAGCGATGTGTCGGAGGAGGTGGAGCAGATGGCAGAAAACATTACGGCACTAAGTATGAAAGTTAACTTTCTCAAGATATTACAAAAATTACAAACACCAACACGAGTTCAAGCACGAGCGCAGACAGTAGCGAGCGTACGGGAGAGAACGCGTCACAGAGTTTCTCTAAGTTGCGCTACAGAACAGCACTTTCCAAGTTATAAACGTTATTTCTTTTACGACTCCTTGACTCTAACATTTGTTATTGCACATTTTTGGTAATCTATACATAATGTTCCGCTAGATTTAAAAATTGATTTAAAGTATTTTCAAGCGTATCAGACCCTTAAAGCACACTTTCTGCAATGGGAGAAAGGAGCGCCAGGACCCAGAAGCGCAGTGCGGCGTCTGACTTAACAAGCAAATAATAGAGCACGTTTCGTATCTCGAACCTTTCGTAACTCGAAGCATTCGTAACTCGGGGTACCACTGTATTTAATATATGTATACACTCACCGGCCACTTTATTAGGTACTCCTTACTAGTTACTGCTTAAATCCAGTGGCATAGATTCAAAAAGGTACTGGAAACATTTCTCTGAGAATTTCCGAGAATTGACAGATTTCCCCATCATGCAGTGGTGGACAGTAACGAAGTTCAAGTAATTCGTTACTGTACTTCAGTAACTTTTTGTACTTTACTTGAGTATCACTGTTTTGTAAAACTTTATACTTTGACTCAACAACATTTCGTAGCCGAAAACCTTACTTTTTACTCCACTACTTTTCTAAAGTCATTTCCTTTTACTGTACATGCGTAACCAGTGACAGATCAAGATAAGAAGCAAGTGTGCCAATCAGAACACATCGTGTTTTGTGCAGTTTGCGCACTTTTCTGTCTAATATGGCTGCTGTCTGCCTGCCTGCTTGCTTCTTTTCGCTGTCATGTTTATAGTGCAATAATACAATAATGGAAGAATCAAGATGCGTTTTCTAAAGAAGTAAAAGCCATGAGATATTAAGTCTTGTTTTCTGGGGAAATAAATCAAAATTAAGTGAGTTGTTGTTCAAAAAAACTATCTGTTTGAATTAATGTTATTTTTCTTAGTGGATGCATCTTGATCTAATAATTTTTAGAGATTTGGACTGGAATCAAGACAAAAAGACTAAGTAAGAAATGCTTTTTTTGGAGTGTTGGTGTTAATGAGCTTTGCTAACGGCCTGCGGTTTCCTAGCTTAACAGCGCTGTTATTCTGTTACAACACATCACTACTAGTTAGTAGTTATACATACTGCGTAAGTCTTCAGGGAAATCTGATGGTGTGTTAGTTTCTGTTTTTGTGGGATTTATGCAAACACTAGAACATGTTAATAGAGTGACATATACTGACGTGTTTATTAAATTGGAAAAAAGATATCCTTTGTAAACTTGAGTAAATCCGTTTTTGTAAGTTATTGCACAGCTCAGCTGTGATGTAGTAAAGGGGCGAGGTGCCATGTGATGAATAAGATTTCTACATTACTTCAAACAATAAATTGTTAAAGAAATTAGTGTTTAATGTGGTTTCCCCCCACACACCCTATTTATTCCTAATCACGTGGTGTCACGAGGATAGTACAGAGGATTCAGACACAAGGTAGGTTCCAATCTTGCTGTTTTATTGTCAGCAGTATCAACAGAAGGTAGTGGACCGAATACTGACTCCACAGATAATTAACAGAAAAAGTTCCCCCCAGGAACTACTCACAGGTAAACAATAATTGATAAGGTTCCTCCAGGATAAGGTCCACCAAAACCGACTCTGGGTACAAGAGTGAAAGTCAGTAGGAAGCATAGACAGGTCTTGACCGACAGCACAGACCGTAAACGAGTATAATCCAGCAAAAGAGTACTGTACAGAACAGATTAAATAGAGTGTCTAATGACAAGATGGCGAGCAGGTGGAGAGCATTAAGGTGATCAGGAATGGGTCACAAACAGGTGAGAAGAGTTAACATAGTTAACTCTTGACAAAGTATTGACACATGAAGAAAGATTTCAAAAACACTTAACAAGGAGGTACAGCAGGACAGGCTGCGGGAAGGAAGAGGCAGGAGGTACAGGTGATGAGGCTGGGAGTGATGCACAAGATGTGGAAGAAGGAGAGGCTGGGGCTTCACAGGTTGAAAACATAAACATATGTTAGTTATTAGATATCATTATAGCGTTTTAACGGAAATGTTGAAATCAGAACTTGTGATACGAGTAGTTTTAAAATGGGGTATCATGTTAATATTGTAATGACTCAAATTATAAATGGTTAATAAGTAAAAAAAACAACATTCAGAGACAAATTATATTTTAAGTTCAGACCTCCACGAAAGAGAGTAGCACCACTTCTTCTTGTTCACTTAAAGCACTGCAGAGGCAATAATGTGTCAGCTTGTCAAGATAGAAACAACTTTAGTTTAGCAATAATTTTTAGTAGGTAAACACTATTCTATTCTATTCTATTCTATTCTATTCTA